TTCCTGGAGCTGGTGAGGACTGATGGATAGTGCTTTGAATCAAGCACACTTTATGCACTGCGAAGCCCCATAAAAATGTCAGCTAGTACTAAAGCGAGAGTGCCCTGACCCAGGGAATCCCACCCCTCTGAATTGAAGCCCTAGGAGTCCGGCCCCATCTGCACTGTTCCATGTAAGGCAAGGTCTATCCCCACATCTGGATATGGTAGTCTGTATTGTATCCCTTCTTCCAAATCAAAGATGGACTCTCAGTGAAACTGTTGGAAATGTGTAGACAACGAGAGGCTGGACTGTCTGACATTGTCTGTACCAACAATAAATAACAGACTGACGGAATTATGACTCCTTATGAAGGATTATGCCATTGCATCAACATGGGGAAAATCTGTTGGGGGGGGGTGATTCCAGTCTATACGAAATTGTACCACATAACTCAAAAATTCAAAATAAAAATAAATAAGAAATAAGAAAAAAAATTTAACTAAAAAAGAAAGAAAGGCAAAGTCTACCCAGTCCATCTGAGGCTGGGCTAGAGGGCAAGCAGGGTAGAATCCTCCTCGGTGTCAAGAAACTAACTTGGCAGATGGAAAAGCTGGGGGTTCCACATACTTTAATTTTAAATGAGAGCCAGTAAAAAAACCAGTGGAGACAATGGGATTCGGGAAATGAAACATAACTTTATCATCAATGTAACCGAACTCTTTAAGGTCTTTATATGTACCCATAATACAAATATTGATTATTAATTGTGCTGAAATATTTTGGGTTGACTGGCATTGATAGCAGTCAGCCAGCCACCTTGCTTTTGGTTATAAAGGAGGACTGGCAGGAACCTACTGGCACCTTTGGCACAGCAGATACACACTGTTCTCATTGATCAGGCATCAAGAAAGTCATCTGTACATAATTAACAGCTTTTTAAAAAAGATTTCTTTATTTAAAAAGCAAAACAACACAGAGAGAAATATTTTTTCTATCTACTGTTTTACTCCCCAAATGACCACTAAAGCCAGGTCTGGACCAGACCAAAGCATGGAACCAGGAATTCCGACCAGGTCTCCCTACTGGTTAGTCTCCCAGGTGCTTGGGCCATCTTTTGCTGCCTCCCAGGCACAATTCCAGGGAGCTGAAACAAAAGCAGAGAATCCTTGCACTGACTATTCAAATGGGGTGTTAGTGTTACAGCAGCTTATCCAGCTGTACCCCAACACTGGCTCCACAACCATGGAATTTTGTTTGTGCCCTAACACATTTCAACTGATGGTCGCTAATTCTAAAAAAAAAAAGTAAGAAAGAAAAAGTTTCACTCATTGTTATAACACTTATTAGAACAATCTTATTCCACAAGGCACTCTGGAATTTGGACTGGATTCCTTAGGAAACTGAAGCATCTTTTTCACATTCTGTGTAATTTATGTGTTGATGACAATGTACACAACCCAATGTCCAGAACATTGTAGGATGAGGTTATTAGACCTTCCAGGCTACAAGCTCTAAGAGGTAATGAACTGTCTTGTTCCATTTTGCCCGGCACTCTTCCTCAAACACCCAGGCTCATGGTTGTTAGTATTCAGCAAATTTCATATTACTGAATAAACAGTTGAGTACAACCCCAAAATAACTCTCAATTCCCATCTCCTATTGTGTGATTCCCAGTTCCCTTTCTCCTCTAATCAATAGCAAGGAACTGGAAAAAAGTACCCCAGAGGAAAGGCACTTCAGTTCCTGTTTACATTTCCTTAAACTCACCACAAAGATTCTTCCCTTGGGTCCCAAAGCCACAAAATCAATGCCTTGCAGCCATGTTTTCTTTCTTTTTTAATATATTTTTACTTTGAATTCTGAATAATGTGGTACAATTTCATATAGCAGCCATGTATTCTTAACAATTTTGCTTCGTTTCCCCTTGCAGACAATGCACAAAGTTCCTTAAAAATGCAAGACGGAGTTTAGTTCCTATTCCCCTTTAAAAAGAAAAGCCATCTTTATCTAACTCTACCAATGCTCGAATTTCTGATCTGATTCCTTGATCTTTGTTTCTAGGAGGTTATCACACAGGCAACTCACTTTTATTTCTTTGCCATATATTTGGTAAAAAAAAAATAAATAAATAAAAGGAGGGTGATATGCTTTTCAAATGCTATACATCAAAGTGTATCACACTTCAGAGTATACAAAATTGACATATTCAAGAAGGTTGCATTCCTTAAAACTCAGAGATTTCCCAGGTCTGGTTAGACAAGTCACACAAAACTGTCATTGCTTGATAGTCCTATCTGACCTAAAACAGTATGGTCAACCTGACTGGTGAACCTTTTTCGTTAGACTTGAGGCAAAACTCCCCAAATTCTTTGAACTGAAATTGACTCTGTTATTGCTTAAATCGAATCTGCTCTCAAAAGATGAAGACAGAAAAAGCAACACAGGTTCCAATGTAGATTCTAGAAGTTCCAGAAAATGTTTTCTGCCACACCTCAAAAGCTGCTATTTAAGTCGGGAGAGACAGGAGACTTCAAATAACTATAGCACCTACTCCAAATGAGGTATCATTTGTAATTCTAAACTGCAGTATTCATTCCACAAGCAGATACATTTGTTTATAGTCAACTGTTACGTAATCCCTGTTGTATTTTCTTCCTCTAGTACACTGTGGTTACTTCTTAACTACTTAAAGTTAGGTCTTTGGAAATGCTACTAAACAAACAACCAACCAAAAAAGCTCCACCTCTCTGTCTCCAGTTGTCTCTGAGAAATAGCATGGCTAGAGAACAGAAGGAAAAGGAGATTTTTTTTTTTTTTCACCAAGGCACTTCCTTCTGAACTTTACACAATGTTACTGCATTTCCCATTTTTAAAGAACTGCTTTCAGGTGCCGGATACTTATGTAAGCTTGTACAGCACAGAAGGCACACTGTGGAGTTCAGTCTACTGACACTACACTGCAGATCTGAAACTCTGGGCCAACATACAGCAAGCCCCGCCAAGAACAGGGAAAGCGTATAAGCAGCTGCATTCAACTTCAGCTGTCTGGGTTTGAGTTGCTCTGTTAGTGATACAGGAAGGTTTAAACACTTGATGAATACTAGGAAAATGTCTATATCAATTCAAGAGTGAAAGCAACAACAGCAACAAACAGGTGGCACAGCAAGTTAAGCAGCTGCCTGCAACACTGACATCTCATAAGAATACTGGTTCTAGTCCTGGTTGCTCCACTTCAATCTAGATCCCTAGAACGCATCTGTGAAAACAGCAAAAGCTGCCCCTATGACCTGGCTGGAGTTTCAGGCTTCTGGCTTCAGCCTGACCCAGACCCAGCTGTTGCAGTCATTTGAAGAGTGAACTAGTGTATTCTCTCTTTTTCCCTCTCCAACTCTGCCTTTCAAATAAGCATTTTTTAAAAATGAAAATGCAAGTATATGAATGAGTCTTGAATTTTAAAGATAACCTTTACAAAGCAGCAAATCAACAACATATACGTATTATAAAAAAAAAAAAAAAGCTTCAAATCTCTTGGAAAGGTTAAACTGCCGCAGTGTGAAAGTGGGAGACAAATGTTAACCACAGGGACCTGTGCAGCATTACTCAAGCAGCTTGCAATACGATCTGTTGCAGGACACAATTGCACAATCTCAATTACCCAGAAAAGTCCACCAAACAGGAAATTCATGAAGTGATTTTAAGAAACACAGGGATCCTGTTTAATGATGAACACATCCAAAAGCCTGGAATTTGTTCCAAAGCAAAAATGCATTTTACCAGCCCCTTTTCAAAAAAAAAAAAAAATGCATTCGCCAAAAATTCATAGGGCCAAGGGGGGAAGGGGATATAGCTAACAATTAAGCCCGATACTTAGTTTCAGAACAGGAACTCTATAAAGATATTAAGTGGAAAAAGATTTGGTCTAAGTGTATAAAGAGAAGTTAGGGAAGTCCTTCAGGTCTGGGGAGGCCAGGTGTCAATTTAAATACAAGCTACAAAGTGTCTCTTAAGTGCTCCCAAGCCTCACGGAAACCATCCTGGGTGAGTCGCTCCCAGCACTCTCTCTCGGGGACTCTGAAAAGTACACCATTCTCAGAACCCAACTGGAATGAAAAATAGTCTCAACACCTCCTAGCACCCCAAAAACCCCCAGTGGCAGGGACCGGCCTGGCCCTGCTCCAGAGAGAACCCCCTTCCGTCAGACAATACTTGAAGGAGCAGTGGCTGTGACGTGACTAATCAGCCAGGCCGCCAGTTTCTCAAGCAGCAGCGTTCTTTCTGCAGGCGCTACCAACACCCTCCAAGAGGAAATACGCTTCCAACCGACTCGGAAACGCACCGCGCAGGCGGGCGCAGGGCTCACCCAGATAAAGCCGATATCTGAAGCCCAGTGGGTCGCTACCAATTCAATTGCAAATTCAAAAAGAACGCTTCTCCACGGGAGATGCGTGGGGAGTAGAGAGTGGGGGGAGTTGGATTTCGACAAAGGTTTGCCACAATAACAAAAGCCCGCAGCTAGCTGCTTCTGTTTTGTTCACACAACCCCCGTCTCTGCGCCCCCAGGATGTGCGCACACCCTGGGAGAGAGTCCTTGAGCAAAGCATCAGTAGGAAAAACACCTCACCCCACCTGCGGCAACAACAGGGGTCCCTTCCTTGGAGCCAGCCCCCCCGGGAGTGGGGTGGGGTAGACAGTAAGGGGAGAAGCAGAAGCGCAGGGTTTGTGAGCTGGGAGCGAGCTCCAGCACCGGGAGCGAGCTCCAGCACCATCAGCTAACCGCCCACGGCGGACCTGCGTCCCGCACGCAAAAATGACCACCGCCCTGGCTTGTGCAGCGAGCGAGGGGTGCAGGGGGTACGGGACATGCAGAGCTGGAAGGGACAGCTCGGGGGAGTGGAAGGGCGAAATTCTTGCTGCTGGGCGCAGAGCCGAGCCCCGGGGTCAGGCTTGGCGCTGGGGCGCAGGAGGGGCTGCCCCGCCATCCCCGCTCCCGCCGGGGCCCCGCACCCGGCCACACTCACCACACCGAGCCATAGGCGCCAGAGCCCACAGGGGACAGGTTCTGGTAGCGCTCGGGCACCTCCCAGATGGTCTTGTTGAGCTCCTGCCGGTAGAACGTGGGCCTCTCCTGAGACATTTTCCAGCGACGGCCGCGGGGCGACGAGGTGGCCCTGAGGTGTGCTCCCTCACCCCGCGCGCGCGTGTGCGTGCGTGCCTGCACCCACACCCGCTCCCCGGTCCTCGTCGCCCGCCCCAGCGGGGCGTGGGAGGAACGACCTGGCGCCGGTCGCTGCGCAGGTGCCGGCGGCTGAGACCCTCACGGACCACCGCGCGCGCGCCCACGGCCCCTGTCAGCTGCAGCCAAGGGCAAGGCGCTCGCTGCGGGGCTCAGGGCTGCGCCCGCGCACGTCTCCCGTGCACCCTCTCCCCCGGCCAGGCCGACTCCGGGCTGTGCAGCTCGGACTCGGGGCTCCCCTTGCAGCGCCCGATCAAGCTCCAGTGGTCACAGTCCTCGAGCCAGCGAACAGGAGCCTCTCTCCTCTCGCGAGAACAGCTCCCGGGACTCTCCGCGAGCCGAGATTTTACCCAATATGGAACCTGTCCGGGGGAGGGGGTGCAGAAGGAGCGAGGCCTCGGGAGGGGACAGTTCTCGCGAGAAGAGAGCGACAGCTGGCGATCCGAGGCAGGAACTCCCTGTCGCGGCGCCGAGGCGGCGCGTGAGGCGGCGCTGACCGGGCCGCACAGGCCGCGCGCGCCCCTCGGTGGCCGGCGGCGCGAGGACGACGCGACCGCGCGGCGGAGGAGCGAGCACGGACGGGCCGAGAGCCAAAAGATCTTTGAACCCGAGCCGAGCACCTGCTCGGCTGAAACCCTCAGCTTCCGAGAAATACCTGCGTCAAAAACACCGGTTCCAGCCAGAAAGCCGTCCCGGTCCCATCTGCCAAAGGACATTTGGCGGACTCTTCGGGACTCTGACGAAATCGGCCCGCACAGACAAACATTAGACCTGCCGGACGCCGAGATGCACCACCCGGACGCTTCGTCCGGCCCCGGGGACGCGCGGGCTGAGGGTGCCGGCTGCGGGGTGCCGTGCGTGCGTCGCGGTGGGCATCAGGAATGCACTTTTTTGTTGTTGTTGTTTTTAAATCATCCACTCCAGGTGGTTCTGATGAGTTTAAAAAGACCCCCCAACGTTTTGAACCTGGGTTCTAGCCTGAAGAATCGCCCGCTAAAGAGGACTGCGAATTGTTCATTCCGGGGCCCCTCCGAGGAAGGAAGATTCTGGCCCTATGGCTTTGGGGAGAGTCAGCCAGAGTTGCCAGATAATTGCTGCCGCTTTCAGTTCCCACCTCACAGAGTCAGAAGGAAATCCGTGCAGGCCCAGGCTATATAACCCCAGCCCCACACCCAGTTGCTGGCTGAGCGCAAGGAGTGGGGTTGGGGACGGAGTGGAGGGACCCCCATCTTGCTCTCCCAGCTTCTGCAGGAAGAACCAGGTGCACGCCGGCTCAGGTGCGGCGCCGTCCCGCAGCCGTGTGCCTCCCCCACCCGAACGCCCCCGGCTCGCCCCCGAACGCCCGCGGGTTCGGCCTCAACGGCTCGGCCCGGGAACCGCCGGCGGCCGGGTGGGCAACACTGCCAGCCAGGCCGGAGCCGTGGGAGACCCGAGCACCCCCAGCCCGCCGGGGAAGCAGGTGAGCCGCTGCCAGGGCCGCCCTTCGCTGGGCGCAGACCGCCCGCAGGGCCTGGCACTTGGCGGTCGGGGACGGGGCGCTGGCTCGGTCAATATTTGTCAAGACTTGAGTGGCTGACCGTGTAGCCCGGGGGCTTACTTTCGGTCCTGGAGACTTTTGAAAGACCGCATGATCTGGCACTGGCCAGAGACCGTGAGTGCCCTTTGCAAGCTGACACCTGCCAGACGCGCTGGTGGGTACTGCCAGATGTCCTAGAAACTGGTTCGCCTGCCTCATCCATCTGGCCCCAAGTCTGTCCTGGCCCCTTGCACCCCTCCCTGCCTGAGGTCACTTTCCCCCCTCCCTTTCCGTGAGAACCTGTTTATGCCCGGCTGTCCGCCTGCGAACACTCCGCTCTCAATCCTGAGTGGAAGGGAACTTTCTTACCCCTCAAACCAGCCCGTTAGGCGGGCGCTGAAGGAGGCTCACAGCGGTGCTCCTGTTTATGCCTTTTCCACATTTCAAGATACATTAGGATGAAAATTCTGGTAGTTAACCGACTAAGGCGCTTCTGACAGAATGATTAGTTGCTTCTTTTTAGTATTTGGAAGTGGATGTTGCTTTTCCAGGAAGGCAAACATCTCAAAGAGTCTCACAGTTAAAAGAATCCGCAGAATTTCCCATCCATTGGACCAATAGAAAATGGAGCTGTGATTAGATTTTTTTCTTGGCTCATAAAGTACATTATAGACAGATGTGCAAATTAATTCATGGAAGGATGGGCAGATAACAAGTGCTTGTATTTTAACTGGTCACCAGTTTGCCACTGAAAGGCTGGCTAAACATAGGTGGTGATGCCATTTACAGGGGTTCTCATATTGTACTTTGTATCAAGATCACCCAGACCGTTCTGGAAATCAGCTGCTGTCCCTCCCGCTCCTGTCTGGGATTTTTCTGACCCAGAAGAGCTTGCCAGGTGGAGCCTGCTTGTCAGTAGGCACCTCTAGTGATGGCATGATGGCAGGAAAGAGGCCTGTTTAACCACTAAGGTTTCTGTGAAATCAGAAGGAAGGACAGAGAAGATTACTAAATAAAAGAAGTCACATTTCCCTTCGCCGCCTTTAACTAAGACATTTGATCTTTAATTACTTTATCTGAGAGGCAAGGAGAAAGATGTTATCTGCTGGTTCTTTCCCTAAATGCTGGCAAAGGACAGGAGATGGGCCAAGCTGAATCCAAGTCTCCCATGGGTTACAGGAACCCAATTACTTGAACCATCACCTCTGTTTCTCAGGGTCTGCCTTAGCAGGATGCTGGGATCAGGAAGCTGGAGGCAGGAATGGAACCCAGGGATTGTGATGTGGGGCAGAGGTGTTGGAACCACAAGGCTAAACATGTGGCCTGATGAATTCTTTAAAGACAGCTTTTCACCTGCCACTCATAGCCATCCTTCACCGTGGCCCTACTGAATGTATGGCAGCTTGACAACCAAAAACCTCTTCCCTAAGGCTAATGTGATAGTACTGGTTTCCAACTCCTCTTTTTCCTCAGTTTCTTCTATCTCCAGCATGGACCAATAATGGAAAGAGAGATAGAAAGATCTTCTATCTGCTAGTTCATTCCCCAAATGACCGCAGAGGCCAGAGGTGAGCTGATCCAAAGCCAACAGCCAGGGGCTTCTTCTGGATCTCCCACATATGTGAAGGATCCCAAGGCTTTGGGCCATTCTCCACTGCCTTCCCATGGCATAAGCTGGGAGCTGGATGGGAAGTGAAGCAGTTGGTACATGAGGTGCCCATATGGGACACCAGTGCTTGCTTTCTATCTCTCTTTCTCTCCATAAATCTGATCTGCCTTTCCAATAAAACAAATGGATCCATGTGTGTGTGTGTGTATCAGTGTTACAAATTAAAAGCAATATGTGAAGTGAAATATGGTTTACTGAGGAAGGTCTGACATCGTAATGCAGCACCTGTTCTGGCTGCTCCATTCCCAATGCAGCTAAGGCTAATGTGTCTTGGAAAGCAGCAGAAGATACCCCAAATGTATGGACACCTACATCCACATGGGAGACCCAGATTCCAGGTTCCTGAGTTTGGCCTGAACCAGCCCCAGTCACTGTGGCATTTTGAGGGATAAATCAGCAGATAGAATATTCTCTTTCTCTCTCTCTCTGTTCCCCACTCCCTTTCTTTCCTTCTCTGTAACTGTCTTTCAGATTAAAAACAAACAGAATGAGAACTTGAAAAAACAAATGAGAAGAAATATAATTTACCTGCTTTCCATGGTAAATGAATAAAATACAATGCCTCCAAGGATACAGTGACATTAAAAAACAAACAAAAAAACCTTTCCACTTAAAATGAGAGGGAAATCATTGGGAGATAAAAATATAACAGGAAAAGATGAGGACATTTTTGTGTCTTTAATAAGTTTCTTAATATAGACATCACATAGTGTTAATCTGCACACCAAATGTGATCTGGAGACTGTCAGATATCTACTTTTTTTTAATAGGTAAGTCATTAACAAGCATTAAGAGAAACTCCACATAAAAACCTGGGATTATGACTTCTGAAAGAGAGCAGATCTAGTGATCCTGGGCCCCACGCTGGCCTGTGGCAACACCTGCTGGAACGTGGTAAGTTGCTGTTGCTGCCGCCACCAGGTCCCAACCCTCCCACCTCTCCTCCGTGTTTGTAGGTAGCTTATTCCACATCAACCTTGCCTTAGTGCCACTCTCAGAACAAGACGCTAAATTTTTGAGCTGTACTACAGTAGCAACATTTATAATCCTAATGTAATTAGCAGATTATCTTGGCTCTTTCAGATTGCAAACTTTTGGTGCTAAGATTTTTGAAAGCCTGCAGTTTCTGCACAATGCACATTTCCCATAAACTTTGCTGAGTCCCCTGGTACACACTAGTAATGGAATTTTACAGTAAAATTACATGAACGAAAAGAGGAAGGGTGGCTCAATATTCCTGTTGACTGGGAAAGAGGGAGAAATAATTTTTTTAAAGGATTTTTGCTTATTTTCATTGGAAAGGCAGATTTCCAGAGAGAAGGAGAGACACAGAGAAAGATCTTCCAACTGTTGGCTCACTGCCCAAGTGGCCACAATAGCTGGAGTTGAGCTAATCTGAAACCAGAGGCCAGTAGCTTCCACCAGGTCTCCCATGCAGGCACAGGGTCCCAAGGCTTTGAGCCATCCTCTACCGCTTTCTCATGCTACAAGCAGAGAGCAGGAAGAGAAGTGGAGCAGCCAGGACTCCCATATGGCATGTTGGCACTTGAAGAGAGAGAATTAGCCAATTGAGTCGTTGCTCAAAAATAGTATGCTTTTCTATACAGTTCTGCCACTTTTTCTTCTTGCGGAAAACACAAGGTGCAAATTCGTTTAATGATACAGTGTGAAATCCCTCTCTAAGACTCATCTGTACTCCCCAACCACTTCTCAGGGCCTTGGTGAATTTGTGATCTTTACTTCATGAATGATACACTACACTGCATTCTACTGTGACCCCAAAGTTTTGATGGCAAAAGTACAATATGTAATTATGTAGTTGTGTAATTATGACCTAGATGGAAGACCTCTCATTCTGTGTAACTCTTTCAAATAAAGAAATAAATCCTTAAAAAAAAAAAAAAGTCCTATGCAAGTGTGAAATATCATGATACAGAAATTTTATTTCCTTTTTTTAAGATTTATTTATTTTTATTGGAAAGTCAGTTGCACAGAGAGGAGGAGGTACAGAGAGGAAGATCTTCCATCCAATGATTCACTCCCCAGGTGGTCACAACGGCTAGAGCTGAGCCGATCTGAAGCCAGGAGCCAGGAACTTCCTCCAGGTCTCCCACACGGGTATAGGGTCCCAAGACTTTGGGCCATCCTTGACTAC